TTTTCCTTAAATACTAAAAATTTTTTTCCGGAAAAACAAATATATGATATTTTTATCGGAAACTAAAACATTTTTCGGGAAAAAACCTACATTACAGTTTTCAAAAGTTTCGTTTGGACAAAAACTGCGAATTTTATGAAAATTTTTCAGGCACAAAAAGGGCACTTTGCTCCTGTAAAAAGGGCACTTGCCAAAACTTGGGGGGGGGGGCCATGGCCCCCCTGGCCCCCCCCCGGTTCCTACGCCCCTGGTTGAAATTCACTGAAACATTTCTTTGTTTTCATAAAATAAAGCTCTTTAGTATAGTTCGAACATTTGATGAATTTGACATGCAAGCTAAATGAAGATTAAAGGAAAAAAATTGAAAACTCACTAACTCAGGGGAAGAACCGCATCGATTTTCTCGATCGATGGGTGTGTGGACACTGGCGGATAGGCAGCTGACTCGCAGATTTGCATGCACATATGTATTATATTTTAGGGGCAGCATTTTCTTAGGAGAAAATTTACTGTTCTAAATAAAAACAAAGCCGAACACTCTTTTGAAGCCGACATTTTCAGAATTATGCTGTCAAAAAGACTCAAAATTTCAGAGAAATCCATTAAAATCGGCCGGAGAATTAGTGACTGGGTCTGGGTTCTTAGTTGGCATGTGTATTTCATTTTATTAATTGGCCGTATTTATATTAGAAGACGGCTTTAACGTCTGAGACGACTTAACCGTCTTAGACGTTAAAGTCGTCTAATATAAATACGGGAAATTAGACAGACGAATAAAAAATTAAGGTCGTCTGTTAAGTGCGTCCAAACGACGTACTTAACAGACGACTTAGTCGTCTTAGACGTTTAATTCGTCTAGTATAAATACGAGACGACTAAACTTGGACGCACTTATAGCAGGTTAACACTACAGAAAGTTGTCAAATTACTACATTTTATATTTTCTTGGTTTCATTCTATACTGGTTCCCAACTGTTCATCTCGTATTTATATTAGTCGCACTTAACACAAGACGTTTAATTCGTCCAGACGATTAAGACGTCTTCTAATATAAATACGGCCAATGATACATAGAATTTGCTTGGGGGAAAATCTCAATTAATAAGAAAATTCTAGAAATGTAGGAAACCTATTTGCCCATCTCATCTCAAGTAAACCCATGGTTTTATACCTCGTCCTCGTTAAAGACGCGGTGTATGTATTGGAAAACAGGAGACAAGGCATATACCTATAGTATGACTGTATAAGTTCATTGACATTGTTTGCAGTGATTATTTTGACATACTTACGTGCTGGTAGGATAAGACACATAATTATACGGCGAATATCTTTTTTCCACAAATAATTTTATTTGCTTAGGCCTGCCATACGTCGCACTATCGTCGAATTTAATTCAGACGAATTTAATTGAACGAATTAAATGCGACGGTAGTGCATCGTATGAAACAGTGGCGTGCTGGCAGGGGGGGCCGGGGGGCCACGGCCCCCCCAGCTGGCAATTCTTGGGGGGCGCAAAAATGAAAAGGGGGCGCCGATCCAGCCCTGACTTACTTCCGCCAAGAAACTGAAGAGATGTGTTTATAGGCTTATAAACAGACTAAGAATACAGGCGACAAAGTGATATATTAAAGTATAGACTATTTTGTCTAACCGTATTTGCTAATTTGCTACCTCACGGCTCACACGAAATCGTTCATATCGAAACATGATCAGTGATCACACGCAATGTCTCATTACCGGAATATTGGTCGGGTTTCGAAGCAATCACGGGAATTATGCCCTTTTTTCCTGGCATTATGCCCTTATACGCCCTTTATTATGCTTCACGAACCACGAGGGCGACGCAAATTAGATAATTGAAGTTATGATAATGTAAAGTTGTGTACGCAATTTAGTTGTTTGCGCAAGAAACATCATGAGTAATGTAAGTAATGAAATAATGCTGAAACGCGCCCTTTTGGCAGCCAGGCAAGGAAACCTTAAAATGCGTGGGGTCCGCGTGTGTTGTTATATAAAAGAGATGTAAGTTGTAAATGTATTCAGATCACTAGATCAGTAGAGAATAGAATTGGGGTTAGATTAATAGCTGGAAGTAGTTAGCATTGCCCAATTTAAGTACTACTACTAAATTCTAACCAAATTGCAAATTTCGACACGTTATAATGCGGTTTCCTGACCATCAGATTTCTGTCAAATCTTCCCGTAAAGTCCAGGAAATGGCATTTCAGAGACTCTAAATTCAAAAATTTTCCTGGGGGGCATGCCCCCGGACCCCCCCTAGACAAACCTCGCACCTGCGGCGCTTGGCTTGTGCCTTCGGCCCTCGTTTATCAAGCGTAACATTATAGGCACAGAGTAAAGACGGAACAGAGAGGCCACTCAGGGGTACAACATGTCCACAGTTGTAGCACCCCCCCCCTGACAAGGTCCGCCATTTTGCTGGCGAGTCGATGCGCTGGAGTTTTGTAGTAAACAATATGGAGAATTTGGAGTTTTTGCCACTAAAATCGCTATAATTTTTGAACGAACCGGCCGATATTCTCTCTACGGCTAAAGCTTATAGATAAAAGGTTAGTGGAAATATCTGTTTTGGTAAGAGTGCTTAAATTAATATTGCTCGCTTGTAAAAGGCCGTTGAAGGAGCGAGGAGTGGAGCGGCCTGAGCCGGCTCTGAGGTTGTCAAACCTTCACAAGACTGTACATGTTTTGTGTATAAATCGACTTTACGTCCAAAGAATAGTACTTTTGCTTATTGTTGAATCCTTTCTTTAAGCAATGTTCTCTCATAATAAAAACAATAAGTGTTGATATGTAATATTATCTGCACTAATACAAGACACCCCTATATACATACTGTGTGCCCTTACTAGCATAATAATAAATAACCGATTATGGATTTATTGTTTTAACTGAAAATTTCATTTGAAATTCACAGGGTCAAGATGTATAGAACTTCTTTACTGTTCATGAACGTAGAACTGGTGTGCACATGTAAATGGCATGTATTTGGTTCAGATGTCAACAGAAAACTAATCAGACTTGCAAATATGAAGATAGAAGATATGCAGGCTAACAGCTGCAGCTACAAATATTTAAAAACTGTAAAAAATGGAACAGAAAACTATGTTACTCAACAATGCGAGATGACCTCTGGCGAGATTTTAATTAAAATTTAAAGGGGCCCTACAGCATAGATTAAGTAAGAACAGATGTGTAACTTCAGTAAAAAAGTTGTCCCACGGTCGCCATCTTCCTAGCAAGTGTCGCTCGCGTGACAATTCGTCATTTGGTAATACGTCATTGCTTTCAAAATGCTTTCAACACCTTTTCCACAACATTAATTGCTTTTAACAACTTTGAACATTCAAAAAATGATGCTCTTGATTGTTTAATCCATAAATTTCGATCCAAAAAAGCCGCAATAAAATGCAAAAGTTCATGTTTTCCAGGACGCCATCTTCCTAGCAAGTGTCATGGCGTGAGCATGACGTGTACATCTAGGGAAATTTGAGGACACGAATTCCTATTAAGTTACACATCTGGTATATACTTCATCTGTGCCTACAGTCATTTTTTAGTTGAAAAGCCACCTTAGGGGACTCCACAGAGATTTGTTTTGCTGTATCTTACATGCAGTGTCCATGAGTACGAGTACTTCCGTACATGTCAAGTAGCGACAATAACAAAAAATGTAAACAGTTACTTCAGGTGGCTTTTCAACTAAAAAATGACTGTAGGGCCCCTTTAAGAGGGTCTTGTAGCTGCCAATATCTCTTGTTAGGCTGTGGTCGTTAAAAACGGAAGGGGGTGGATAGGAGGAATTTGACTATAGTTGTTTTTATATCCTCCTCAAATTTGTGGAAAAATAGGTATCTCCTGCAAATTGGCCTGGTTCGAAAAAATCGGTATCCCCCCCCCCCCCTATTGCCTTGCATACATAAACATATACAAAATATTAACCACATCACCCTGCTGGCAGAGCCTATTTTACTTCGCAAGTTCGTATAATAGGCTCTGCCAGCAGGGTGTAACCACATGTAATCCACCATATAATGCTTTTAATACAGACTTGCATACATGGCCATTTGTTGCTCCAGAATGCACATGGTTGTTCATATCAACAGGGATGCTGGAGGGGCCATTGCAGGGGCAGATACAGACAATTTTCTGACTGATGAAATGAACAGGCCCTTGCATGTCTAGGGGTTCTCCCCTAAGAAATTCTGAAATCTAGAACCTCGGAAATGTGATTTCCCCATTGACACAAAAACATGTTACCCATACATCGCAATAGCCAAGGCAAAACCAAACAAAGTTATGTATATAATACATCTATGTATTAATAAGGAAAACCTTTGCCCCCCCCCCCGTTACAAAAGGGCAGGAGGGGGGGCAAGGTCTGCATATCAAAATTTTTGCCTGTTCATCTCAATATTTTATTAATCCCCCATTGTCTTCTCTCTAATAGTTAGTATCCCCACTTTTGATGTTATAAAATGTTATATCCCCCCCCCCCCAATTTTCCTTCTAGCCTTAACCCATTGAGTGGTCAGATTTTTATCATTTTACTCTGTCTAACACTAATTGATTTTACTCGTCAAAGGGATTCTTGCAGCTTAATGGGTTAAATAATTTTTGCAATAAATTTTAAGGATTATTAATTAAACAAAACATATTATTTTAGGTACTATGTATTTACTGACTGGTAAATCGTGATGAATGTAATCAAATCATTAAACATATTCCACTTGTAGTTTGTTGAATTGTATAATCAAGCAACATGCAAACAGAAATATGGCTAAAATATTGGGAAGCTAGTTGAACTGTTATTTAGGAGGCCTAGAAGGGGACAATGGACATATTCAATTAATTGTATTACATTGAACAAGCAATTGCCAATTGGTTAATAAAATAAATTCTGCACAAACCCCACCCAGTCCCAATCTCTAACCACGTGCAATATTGTTTGTCATACGGCTACTTTACAAAAAACACAGTTCTTTCTTTGCTACAAAAATCATTTAAATGGCAAACGCTGTAAAAAAATACAAAGGAAAAGGAGGAGGGCGTACGTTCTGTTTTGCTGTTAACTGTTCCAACAGCAAACATTCGCATCCAGAGCTTAGTTTCTTTCGCTTTCCGCGTGATAGACAAAGGTATGTTCTATAATTGTTCTCAAAATACAACGTTGCAATTAAACCTGTCTCCACAAGTTTGACAGAAAAATTGTATTTTGGCATTTTCAGATCAAAGGAATGGGTAGTGCTTTGTAGACGCGAAGACTTTGCCAAAAAGGACGCGGAATACTTGTACAAGAATGTGAGAATATGTGCAGAGCATTTCGAAGACATCATGTTTAGCAACGACCTAAAAAATCGCCTTAACCCTGAAGCAAAACCAACCTTATTTAACATCCCGAATCCATCACCCACAGTGGGCGTGAAAAGAAGAGCTATTGAAAGGAAAACAGTATCTCATAGCCAAGGTAGTTTTATTTAAGTTCAGTAGACGTAAGTTATGAAAAAAAATCTACATTAAAAAGTCTCTAATTACATGAAAATTATGCTTTTTACAGCCAAGAAGGCTAGAATGGAAAGGACTGAACATGGTATGTGCATTGTCATAAGAGGTGATATAAATCGCACCTCCACCATTTGGGATGAATTTTTTTTGTTTTAAGCTAACATTATTATTATTATTGAATATTGTAGTAATCGATCTTGTAATATTGGTATTTGTATTCATACCCAATAAATAATTTAAAAAACCCAGTTAACTAAAACATAACTCATAAGCTAGTATTGTCGCACTGATTTGATTTAAATTATACTTTTACATCGTAGTTATATACTATATAGTACATTGCAAATTCTCTAATAAAAGGGTTTTTTTAGCTGCCAACGCAAATAAAACAGCAAGTAAAAACTCTGAAAGTGACATTCCAGAAACCAGTACATCAGGTATGCATTAATAGTACTGCCCCTGTAAAATGCTTTGTGAAACAAAATGACAAATGTGCTTGATGCCAAGCAATCTGTACCCAATATCTTTTAACTCGCTCCTACTGTAGTACAACAAATAATTTTGCCTTAGTTGAAAATAAATTGCTACTAAAAGTCCGTTTTGTATGTTTGAGATAAATTTTTGGTTAGTTATACCTTAAGCTAGACCCCCGATCTTTTACAGTGTTTGATTAAAGGATTATTTACATGAGCCCCCGGTTGGCCCAGTTAATAACTGAGGATGTCTGGCTAACCGGGCTAAAATTTTCCCATGTAAAGTCACCAGCACGGGGTAATCAGGCTAGCGAAAAACTTCTATACAAGCTAAAATATTGATTTGAATTAGTATTATTTTTATCAAATAGTTCTTTTTTAAGTTGTTCATGTTGATTAGATAGTTTTAAATTAAAAATTAGCTCCATAAAACGAGCATTTGACTTGCATGACAAACCTTACAGTATTAACAAGTATGTAAACAACTTTTCCCCGCCATATTTGGCTTGTTAAAGTTTCAGCCCGGATAACCAGGCTAGCCGGGCTCATGTAAACAGCCCCTAAATCTAAAATTATGCATACAGACAGAGTTTTACACACTTTTCACAGTACACTTATAACTACTGTATCTGTATAGTTTGTGTGTATAAATACAGTTTTTTATTCATTGTGTAGAGCCCCTGCATCCAACTTCTCCATTCCAAGGAGAGAACAGTGGACTAAGTGGTGAAAGTCAAATGCAAGATTCCATTTGCCAAACAAGCAGTGACCTGTCAAAGAACACGCCTAGGAAAACCAAACAAAGGAAAGTTATTGGTAGTCAAAGGAAGAAAATCAATCGTTTGGAAGAAGCCCTAAAAAAGAAAAAGCCTGCAAGACAAGGGAAGAAGGACAGAACGTTACAGGAAGCACTTGACAAACTGCCCAAAAATTTGGCTCATTTTGTCAGGATGCAGTTGGAATTGCATAGCAAGAAAAAAAAGGGAAGAAGATACTCACCTCAAATGAAATCAATTGCTGTCTCTCTTTATCATGCAAGTGGCAAGGCCTACAGAGTTCTGTCGAAGTTATTCATACTGCCAACAAAGTCATCACTCCGTCGCTACATCTCCAGGATGCCAGCAGCCACAGGAATTTCCCAGGGTGCCCTAAATATAATAAAGAAAAAGGTTGATAGCATGAATGAGCAAGAGAAACTATGTACCCTTTGCATGGATGAGGTGTCCCTTAAAACTAACCTGTACTATGACATAACCAAGGACAGGATTATCGGTCTTGAAGATTTTGGAAATGGAATCCGTACCAACAAAGTGGCAAATCAGGCATTAACAATTCTTCTAAGGAGCATCTCTGGAAAGTGGAAACAGCCACTTGGCTATGCCTTGGTGAATGGAGGATGTCCGAGGGATGAAATGGAGGAGTTAATGAAAAGTGCCATCGACAAAGTTGAACGGATTGGACTTAATGTTGTCGTTGTTATGTCTGATATGGGAAGCAACTTCCAAAGCCTGGCTAACCACTTGGGAGTCACTCCAGAAAGGCCATGGTTTATCCACAACAACAAGAAGTACTTCCTGATGTTCGACCCACCACACCTGATCAAGTGTGTCCGGAACAACCTGATGAAGTATACATTCAAGTTTGGCAACTACACCGCTCAATGGAAAGATATAGCAGATTTCTATGAGAAAGATAAGGAGCTACCTATCAGAGCTGCCCCCAAACTAACTGAGAAACATATTCGACCAAACAACTTTTGCAAAATGAAGGTGAAATATGCTACTCAAGTCTTGAGCCACACAGTAGCGGCATCATTGTGCACGTATGTGAGCATTGGGGGCCTTGCATCATCAGCTATGGGAACTGCTGAACTTCTGTTCAAGTTTGATTCTTTATTTGATTGTGTAAACGTGTCGACAATCAACTCATCAAAGGTATTGAAACGTGCCATGACCACAACCTCATCTCACCAAAGATACATGGAGGAAGCATTTACCTTTATTAAGGAGTTGAAAGTGTTTCAAGGGAATGAAGAAGTCACTGGTAGGATCAAGTGTCTCAAAGGATGGTTGGTTACCATCAAAGCCATTCTTTCGATTTGGGATCAGCTTCATCAAAACCATGCCTTCAAATTTCTTCTCACCAGAAGGTTAAACACCGATCCGATAGAGAACTTTTTTGGTTCCATTCGCCAGCAAGGTGGTAACAGTGATAATCCGACCCCTATCCAGTTCACCCGTGCCTTCAGAAAGCTGTTCTTCAGCTCGTTCTTGAATTCGTCAACAGGGAATTGTGCTGAGGATTTTGATGACCTTCTTGCCCAGTTTGCTAAAGCTAAATCCAAGAAGAGTAATGTTCCTGCTATGGCTGCCCCACCAAAAGTATCACCAAACTTGGACATTGGAACTGTGGATTATCGTGACAATGAGGTTACTGAGAACCTACTGAAAGACAATCCAATTGCCTATGTTGCTGGGTACTTACTCCAGAAATGTTTTAAACATCACGAGTGTTCAACATGTAGAGAAGCTGTGGTCACAGATGAAATTGGTGACAACAGGAACTTGCTTTGTTTCTTCAAGGCGTACAAATCAGATAAAAGTTTTGGAGGATTTCTAGCACCTACAGCACCATATTTACAATATGTCATACAACTAGAAGACCTGTTTGTGAAAGATTTCTCCATGTATACCAAGAGTGATGGGGTTGGGAAAAGCATCTTAACGAAACTACAATGTGTTCCAGTTTCATTTCAGCATTGTCCAGAATTTCCTTTCGAGTATCTGCTGAAGTTGTTCTTACGAATGAGAATTTACTACAGCATTAAGTTTGCCAACCGAAATTTATCATCCAAGAAGAAGAACAAGAAAAGCAAAAAGTACATTAAAGTTACCCACTTGTAGAGTACTAATAAATTCATACCACAGCGTTCACTATTAAGACAGTCAAGAGACTAAATGGTTATATAATATCAAGAAACTATTGAGATTGTCCAGATTTTTTAAAGTCGAGATCACAAGATCACTGTTGGACTTTAACTGAATGTGTCAGCACAATACACTATAAACACAATACGCACAAATATACGGGTATAAACTTGGTGCTTTATTCGGTTGTAAACCTGTCAAGGATAATCTGGTAAGGACGCCAATCCAAAGAAATACATTATATTAAAACCTCTTCAACATTTTATCTCAAACAGAAGAAAATCACTGAACTTATTTAGACAACATCAGGCATACGCCAGGACAGGCCTTTGGTGGCTCCATAGTCGCACAATAAAATATCAAAATTTGGCTTTAAAAAAAGGTTAAATAATGCCATAAGAAAGGTAAAAACAATTACTTACCTCATATTTTCCGATTTCAAGGATAATTTTTGAATTTGAGGCCATAACTGAGCCATATGGGCCTATATTCACTGTCACCCCTTATCTACGCACTATTGTTTGTGAGAAATCGACTCGCCCCCAAAATGGCGGCCAACATGCGCGAGGCGAGATGCGCGAGGACAAAAACTTCAAAGGTTCCAACACGAGTGGCCCCTCTATTCAATCCTTACTCTATGATATTGTTTCACGTAAAAATAGTTTGCCTTTTCACGAGTCACAAAAAATTGAAAAAATTCCTTCACGTTCACGAAAAAAATCGAAGCGATCACGATTCACGTAAAAATAAAACAAAATTCACGAATTATTATAGGATGTCTTCCTTAATTGTAGAATCATTGTACTCGTTTGTACTTACCTCGGCATGCTTTCAAACCTCCAACTATGTTGAAAACAGGCTCCTGTACATCAAGTACTTCAAAAAACAGTAACAAACCGTATTTATACCTTGGAAAGCTGATCACACAAAACAGATGATTCACGAATCACGCATATTTCTATCTGCCATTCACAGGTCACGGTTAATTCAAATCTTTCCTTCACGTGCACGTAAAAAGATTGGAAGTCATACTATCACGAATGACGGATTAAGAAAATCATCGATCACGTTTCACAGCTAAGTAAAATAAGCCCATCACACTTCACACAAAAAGTATAGGGGGCCCTCTATATTGCCCCAATAGTTCAGGCTGTGCAAATTTACTTAGAAGACTTGTGCAAGAAAATAAAGCATGATGTAAGATGTGAATTAATGGATCTGTGCGCTGAATTAACAAGTTTAACATAATTAATGGTTGGAAGGAAGCATGGAGGAAACTAAGAAAACTTCCAAAAACACATGTTTAAAAGAGTTGGTAAGCCTGTTGTTTCTAGTCTCCAATCTCTTGTTCATGTCAGGAGGTAAGGACAGGAAGTAGCTTTTCAGTGATGGGAAGAGCTTTAAAACCCTCTCAATGCATGTTGACAGACCAAGCCAGCGGACGCTGTGGAATTTAATAATTTTGTAATACTGCTGATCGCAAAATTCACAAAACTCAGTGAGAAGATTTTTACGCTTTGACAAATAGTCAAAGTGAAAATAAATGTCAAAGAGAAACTGTTCAACATCAAAATTGTTAGCCACTTTGACAAAATAATTGGTAGCTCTACTAGCTGTGTTACAACCCATAAGAATTATGTCCTCATTTTTCTTCATGGCTTCTACAATGACGGAATTATGTCTTGCAACATTTAGTGATGTATTGTTGACTACTAAAGACACACATTTATCCCAACTGATGTCATTTTTCACCAATACATTGTTAATAGCAGTAAATATACCAACTGCTGTTGATGAAGTACATGCACACAAGAACTTTGCATCTGCTCCACCAATGTTGATTGCAAGTCAGCCACAATGGCGCGGTTCAAGATACAGCATGCCCTTGGTCTTCCCACACGAGTGTGCTTTTGCGATTTTCAAATCCAGAAAAATACTTTTAAACAATGGACCCAAATGATCAGTTGTCGCGAAAGGCAAGTTATGTTCGGCCAAAAATCCTGCCACTTTCATTTCTGCTAAGCTTATTTGCTTATTGATATTGGAAATTTGTGGGTTAAAGTGTGATGTAATGGAACCTGGCGCCCTTTTTGCATTCATTGCAGTGTGAGACGATTCAAGGCAGTGTCTTGTCAAGTTTTCCTTGGTGCTCAATAACAACCGATTTCTCGCATTACGTCGAAACATACCTTGAAACTCTGGTTCAGAAAACCAACTATCAAGCACTTTACAAGACCTCTTTTACTTTTTTTGCTGCTGTAGCCATTTTACTTTTCTTGTATCGCTTTCCTTCTTATGTCCAGGTTGTACGCACATAAAATAAATATGTTTCTAAAATATCATGTTGTACACGAAAAATTTAAGTTAAAACCCTTTTTCCAGAATATTAAACCGTTTAAAACGATTATACGCGAGTATACGATTGGTGTAAACAATTTCCGGTTAAAATGGCGGTAAAATTATTTATGCATAAAAATATGTGGCTTGGCTGCAAAGCTGACGCTTCCGAATTTTCCAACTTATTGCCAAGTTTTGAAATTGAATAACAACATGTTTGAGTGCTTTTTCTGCCTGTACAGCTAGCGGTAGCTAGTGAATCCGGGAATATTTGGCAAATGAAAAGAAATGGGCGTATTTGCCCCACAGGATGAAACCTCAGCAAGTAGGTTTGAAAAATGCGGGAAGAAAGTCACTTCATGTGCGATAGCGAACAAGAATGCGGGAGTTTCAAGGTAATTGTGGGAAACTTGGAAGGTCTGTGATTTTAAATCACAAAAACAGCAGTATTTGCCACAGAAAGGATAACCTGTTTTGTATTACCTCGCACAGCTGCAGCATTACAGTACATTGCTTCCTAAGGATAGTAATACTTTGGAATTGCAGCATTAATGTAAATGGTTTAACTTGCATTCACTTTTACAATTCCATATACAAGCAAAAAGGAATGCCCATCGACTTCATTGATTGGGTTGTCTAAATTGCAGGATGATTTAAATGGCATCAAATGCTTAATTATTGATTAAAAACAAGCAACAATATAATGATAATAATAACATGGTAGCCTCTGTTTCTTTTGTTTCAACAGGGGCATTTAATCACTATTTCCCTCATTACCCATGCATATGCTTTTGTCTTTGTCTTTCCCCTGCATGCTTGATTAGGAAAATTTAGAAGACTTAAGCATACTGCATTACCTCTCAATGGAGAGCTGTACCTGGGATGATACCATCCCATACACATACTAACAATCACTTTGCCAGTTTTTATACTGCAATCTTGGATATTTCAATTGTGGGAGAAAATTCTGTTTATGCTCATGCCTAAAAAGAAAATATGTGTTTCTGTGCGTGTGTATATATGAAGTGTTCATCCCACAATCATAAGACAATCAAATAGCATGATTCCCTTCTGATTCCCTTGGCTACCATGTAATTACAAACTAAACACATGCTTTGAGGGAAATTAGTGATTAAATGACCCCGCAAACCTTGGGAGGTTTGGTAAAAGTCCAGAGGGCATAGTCCAACAGACTTTTTACTAAACCTCCCTCGGTTTGCAGGGTCATTTAATCACTAATTTCCCTCAAAGCACGTGTTTACGTATAATAAACATTTTACTTGAACTCCCAACTTGTTTGCATACTTGCCTTTGTTCGCCTTCGTGATTTTCATCTTCCTCTGAAGCTTCATGTAAATAATGTTTGCTTTTTAATATATTTATTACAGAAAATAACCATAAACTACAAAATTACTGCTATAATTCTTCAAAAAGTTTGGCACTGACACTAGTTTCAGTTTGCCAATTCCCCCCCCCCCCGCTCTAAAATGGATTCAGGCGTCTTGTGGAATGAAATGCAACTAAAGTTTTTGCTGCTGAAGGCAGCATACTAATATCTTCACGTTGTTAGTGTAGTGCTCAGTTTCTTTTACCGAGTTATAATTATTGGACGTGAAATCTCGATTTTCATTTTATTGAGGGGGGTCAAAGGGGGGGCGATCATGTCGGAAATATTTATCATACGTTACGTCACAGCACACGACCATTTGACTATGTTGCCTTTTTGCTGATCACACATCTACAGTATATCAGTATAGTATCTGCCTTTAAAGAATTTTTTATGGTAAGTTAAGTCTTTAGTTGCTCGTGGAAGTATTCATCAAGGCCACAAACTCTTTAGTGAACAATCGCGAGGGAAACAATGCTTGTTTATGTAAATTAGATAATACTTCATAGTCTGCCTCGTTGGGCTATATTTCTGCCTTCATTGGGCTGTATTTCTGCCTCATTGGGTTGTATTTGTCCCTCATTGGGCTGAATTTGTGCCTCATTGGGCTGAATTTGTGCCTCATTGAGGCTATTGGGCAGAATTTGTGCCTCATTGGGCTGTATTTGTGCCTCATTGGGCTGAATTTGAGCCATATTTGGGCTGAATTTGTGCCTTATTGGGTTGTATTTGTGCCTCACTGGGATGTATTTGTGCCTCATTGGGCTGTATTTTGCCTCATTGGGCTGTACGTGTGCCTGAAAATCATTCGACCATTGGACAGCTGTTGATAATTCATTGATTGACAAATATTTCTCATGTGCGATCAGACCATTTTCAAAAGCATTTTGATACATACTGTTTCCTTGCAATAAAACACTGTCTATTGTAATAGAGTTAGAACCCAATGAGAAACAAAATGATGAAACAATTTGGTATATAAACTGTGGAAAGGACCATCAAGGTTCAATTATTACAAATGAGCATGAAGTTGGAGCTTCCTATGTTAACTTTGGTTTAGCTTTGATGAATACTTTTACACAAAGTAAGGATGCTATTTTGATATTAGATGGGTATACGATGGCCTTGATCCTCATGCCAGAAATTGTTTTGGTATGTCTGACCCTAATTGTACTGCTGTTGTTTCTGGATTTTTAAAATCGCAATTTATTCCCAACTATTTTTAAAAAGATGCAGTACAGTATACCATCTGCGCATGTGCACAAAGAAGCCCTCTTCTTATTATACAAACCAGTTTATTTAGGTTTTTATTTCATTTTATTGTCTTGCAAAGCTTTATCGTTATGTCTTGATAATTTATTCTACTCTTGAATAAAATTCGATATTTGGATACCGACATGTAAACAAAGCCTATGTTTACATACAGACTGTACCGCATCTTTAAACGTTTATTTCCAGCTTTAAGGCAGCACTTCACTTGCAGTAGTAATTACTAGTCTAAAAATATACTAAACTGGGAAAACAAACAAATATGAACCGTTCATTGCACTGCATTCTCACATCTATTTCCTAAAGTATAATATTAGGATTATAAGTTAAAATGCCACAATGTTTGATGATTCTGATGAAGATTCTGATAATCATGATATCGATCCTGTTATTATGAATGTAAACAAATCTTGTCAGTTTTTTCCTTTATATAACATATTTTTGAGGCTTTGAGTCAAAATCTTTACATATTTATACTCAGCGAA